TTAGTAGAGACGGGGTTTCACCATGTTGACCAGGATGGTCTCGATCTCTTGACCTCGTGATCCACCCGCCTCGGCCTCCCAAAGTGCTGGGATTACAGGCGCCCGGCCAATTTTCAAAACACATACAGACTCATTCCACTTTTCACCACCTGGTCCAAGTCGCATTTCCAGTTTGGATTACTGCAGTAGTTGTAACTGCTCTCCCTGAATCTATTCTTGCCATGCTCCTGCCACCACTCCATTCTCTATAGAACACCCAGTGTGATCCTTTCAAAACATAAGTCACATTATGCTATTCCTCTGCTCACTCAAAATTTTCTACTGGTTATCCAAGTCATTCTGAATAAAAGCCAAAGTCTTTATAAGGGCTTTCACCATTCTATGCTCTGGTTTCTTGCTGCTATCGACCTTATCTGCTCTCATTCTCTCTCTGTTGCTCACTGCACTCCAGGTACACCTAACTCCTCATCCACATACAAACACAACGAGAGCAAATACTCATCTCATAGCCCTTAAACTAACTCCTCCTTCAATGTGAAGCACTCATTCCCAAATATTTGCAATGGCTTTCTCCCTCACTTACTGCAGGTCTTTACTCGAAAGTATTTTAAATAGCACCAATTCCTTGACATTCTCTTATTGCCTTTTTTGTTATCTGTTTATTATCTGCCTTCCCCATTAAAATGTCAATTACATTATAACAGAGACCTTGTCTGTCTTTCTCACTGCTACATCCTCAACACCTAGAACAGAGCTTGGCACTAGTAAGCACTCAGTAAATATTGGTTGAATGAGTGAATAATACTGTATCATGTAGTTGAAATATGGTGAGATGTGGATAAATTGAATATCAGATACAGAAGTAATGAGCTTTTAATGTGATAGGAACAAAGCAATAAAGTATTCTTTGTAGCTGAATAATGACTTTGTGTGATGAACCACAAATTGCAATGATTTTTTAACTGATTAGTATTCATAATCTACAATCAATATTTTGAAATATATCTTCATGGTCTATTTGTAGAGGCCAGCCTATGAACTGTTCAGTGCTCAAATTAGCAGATGGATGCTGTCTCAATCAAGCTTGGCTTAATTAAGGATGGATATGTTACCTTAATCTGGCAAACAAAACATTATGAAACTAACAGGCAATATATGTTGACAGTGAAAGTCACACAGTAAAATACTGACTTCCCAAAATAAATGTAGATTTTTTTTAAACTAAATTTAGCTTTCTCAATAAAAACGCTTTCATTGGTTTAGTTATAAAATAGACTTTAGATGCCAAACTTGGTTATCCCTGTGGAGACCACTCATTCATTCACTCATCTAACACATGATAAAATATTGCTCCATGCCAGTCACTGTTCTGGGTATGTTCACATATACAAGCTCACTTAATCCCCTGGAAGAGGAAGAACTACGCTTTGTTTTATTTATCAGGAAATTAAGGCTTGTCCAATTGTTGAGAGTTCAGAAATGCAGAAATGAAATTCACATGAAAGCTCCATCCAATTCCATGCCTATGTCCTTTCCACTACACCATAGCTGCCACAAGTCCAATTTGCATCAGGAACAGAAAATTTGCTACTAGACCAGTTCCCATATTTTGGACATTCTACATGAAGTTATTCATTGAATAAGATTTTATACTTAGTTCTTATAAGGGTTACATAAGATGAACCTGAAAACAAATTCCAATGAGCACATAGTGTAGTAGGGCAGATTAAATATGCACAATCAATTATGATGCAAAATATAAAGTAATACCATAACAAGATACAAAGTGCTATGTCTCATAAGTTCTTTCATTAGTTTTAAAATGAAGATAGGATTGTCCCTTAAAAGAGTTCAAAGTGAGCTATCTTTTGATAGTCCACAGTCTCTTGGATGCAGCTAGTGATAATGAGTTTCTTATTGGTTGTCTAGGGATAGGAATAATGACAATAAGCCTTATAATTAACCACCAATTGAAACAGTGGACCTGTTCCAGTGACTCTGTTCCTTAGTTAGAAAAAGGGCAAAGACCTGAAAGCACGATCAACCTTATGTTACTTTTGTAAGTTTTTAGCATTTGCTTTTCTTATTATACAAGGTAGAAAGATCAAGGTACTTAGAGCCTAATGAAGCAAGGATAAATACAAGCAAAAAATTAAGGTGGTTTTTCAAAAGCAAAGTTTGCAAATACCTATTAGTTGTCACACAAATATTAGTACAGTCAGTAACTGAAAAAGAGAATAAACATATGTAAACCCCCAGATTTTATTTTATTTTGGGGGGGGGAATGATGGAGTAGGGTGAGTAGGAAGGCAGGCTACTAAGAACAGGGGGCAGTGATTAGAACTTACTACTACAAATGACTGAGTTTTTCCAAAGGAAAAAAAAACTCAATGAAATAAACGACTGGGAAAATATGATGGCATGGATAAAAGTTTGATGACGGATAAAAGTTTAATACCATGATGATGATGATAACAGGCACCATTTTATTCATTCAACTAACACCATCACTATAAAAAAAAAATCCTTGCATAATAAGAAAAAGTCACCAGTCTCAGTCAATGACCAATTTGGTTTATGCAATATCTGATGCCACAAGAATTTGAGTAGTTTTCTGGTTTTCATTATAATAAAATTTAAGCTGTAATGGATCATAATCATACATTCCTTCTTTTAATATAGATTTTAAAAGATTATTGCCCTTCTATGATTTAAATATACTAAAGTGCAATCCAATAAATATCTCTACTATTTGCATTTTATTCAGCTGTTTTCGTATCCTACAAATATAAGCTGAATTTGGAAATGTAAACTGTTTTTTTTAAAGAATGAAAGAGAATTAGAAATAAAAGAGATTGATTCTAGCATCTGTAAGTTTTTTTTTAAAAGGGTATAAAGACTGTGAGTTCCCAAGAAGGTCACAGAACATGCCAACTAGCCTGGCTAAACTAGTGAAATGTTTTTAATTTACTTCCAAGTTAACTACAGGATAATCTAACCTAGCTTCTATTAATTTCCACATTCCAAACTTGAGTACTATAGATCTCTGGATCAGGGTTTGTCAAGTTCTTGAGACAACTGTGTGGAATGAGGAATATGTAAAACAACAACAGAGATATGATTGTTTTACACTACCACCAATAGTGCATAGGGTTTCAATTTCTTCATATCCTCTCCCAAAACCTTTTGTTAACACAACCATGCCAATGGCAGACAGTTTGTTTGGGAGGACTGTTGTTGGTAAATGCATTATGGGTAACCCCTGTTCAAACACATATATAAGTGGAATATGAATGCCTTGCTACAGACTGAATGTTTATGTCCACCAAAACTTTATATATTGAAATAATCTAACTCTCAATGTGATGGTATTATATTAAGAGGTGGAGCTTTTAGAGATGATTAATGGGATTAGTGTTCTTATAAAAGAGACCTCTAGGCTGGGCATGGTAGCTCACGGCTGTAATCCCAGCACTTTGGGAGGCTGAGATGGGCAGATCACTTGAGATCAGGAGTTTGAGACCAGCCTGATCAATATGGTGAAACTTCGTCTCTACTAAAAACATAAAAATTAGCCAGATGTGGTGGTGTGTGCCTGTAATACCAGCTACTTGGGAGGCTGAGGCAGGAGAATCACTTGAACCTGAGAGGCGGAGGTTGCAGTGAGCCAAGATCGCACCACTGCACTCCAGCCTGGGTGACAGAGAGAGACTTCGTCTCAATAAATAAATAAGACCCCCAAAGAGCTCCTTTGCTTCTTCTACCATGTAAGGTTATAGTAAGAATAGAGATGTCTCTGAACAAGAGAGTGGGCCTTCACTAGACACCAAATCTGTTGAAACCTTGATCTTGGACTTCTCAGATTCTAAAACTAAAATATAAATTTGTGTTGTTTACAAAGACAATCTATAGTATTCTGAAACCCATGGAAATGACAATAAAACAGGGGCACGTTTTGACAACATTGAAAACATCTTCTGTGATGAGTTTTATGCTCCTGAAAATAAATAATAAACCCCTAAACAACAAACCAGAATGATCCACTTTCCCAAAAGTAGGAAGAACTTACTGATACATGTCCAAGAAGAGAAGAGATGTTTTCATCCACATAAATAATCACTCCATCTGTGCTCAGTGTAATCATAAAGCCATCTAATGACTAATGACAGGAGAATAATAATGTAATTAAATAGTGGAACAATAATAAAATGATAGCTTTATTTCTAAATGCATAATTATAATAGCACACTGAAAATGTATTGCAGTCCTTAAATGTCAATAAAGTAGGCACAGACTTAATTAAAATTCCATTATTCTGCCTCCTACACAGAATCTACTTAACCTTAAGCATGAAATGTTTATCAAATGATGAGTCATTTAAACAAACAAATTTCAATATACACCCAATTAACATGAAGTTCTCTAACACAAGCCAAGAAGATTCATTTCTGTGTGTAGGTTGTTTCACTTTTAGAACACTTAACTTCAAAAATGTTAAAAATATTTTAAGGACACTTTCCTTTGTGGTTAGGTTAGTCATCTCCTTATAAATATGGATATGCCCATCACTTCCCTGCTATATAATGGATTCAATAGCCAGACAAATGTCTCCTGGTAGAGAATATCTAAAATGACAAATAAAACTTATTTTTCAAAACAGAACCAAGCTATTGGTAAAGTAAGGGAAATAATCTGGTGTCAAAAATGACTATATTGTGAGAATTATGACATCAGAGTATATCAGACCCTGTTATTTGCCTTGAGACTATCTTGCCAACACTGATGGCCTAAAGTTTAGGGGACAAAAGCAAAGCCGAGGCCTGTACAAGGTAGGAGGTGAAATCAAAGATTACAACATAAAGCCAAGTCTCCAAAAGGGTGACACCTTCAACAGGTGAAACAGAAAAATCTTATCCAATGAAAGGAGACAGGGAATGTGCATACCTGCCTCAGCTTCAGTCCTGGGAAGAGTAGGAAAAGAAAAAATAGCCAACTTTAAGAGGTGCTAAACAGAAGTCCACCCTCACACAAACTTGGAGGTAGAATTCATACACTACCTGTGTGGACCTCAACAATCAAAGTCTAGTATTTAGTTTAATGTGTTACTGACCCCATATGTCTAACAAAAGGAAATCAAGATCACATCTAGAGAATTATTTTTAAATGAGTGTTCAAAGAATTCCGGCAGATAAAGTTACAAATAATATGAGCTTATAATAAAAAATAAAATCCAGGAAGAGATGAAACATTACAAACAAGAGGCAATAGACATAATAAAATGTAGACTCATATTTTAAAAATAGCGGATATTGGAATTATCAGATACAGAATACAAAATAAGTATGCTTAATAAGCTTAAATAAATAATAAAGGACACTACAAACATGAAGAAACAAGAGACTCAAAACTGACTAATGAGTTATAAAACATAATCAAACAAAATGTCTATAAATGATATTACCATCAAAATTAGATACTTAATATATAGGTTAAATAGTATGTTAGAACACAGCCAGAAATAAAATTTTTGAACTGGGAAGAGCTGAAGAAATGGCTCAGAATGTAACACTAGAAGACATACAAATGGAAAATAAGATAATTTAATTTAACCGAGAAGAGAATGAGACAGTCCAACATATGTCTGATCAGCGTTCCAGAAGGAAGTAATATAACAGAGAAGAGGATATACTCAATGAGATATAGGTTGAAAATCATCCAGAAGTAATAAAATACACCAATCTTAATATTCAGGAAGCCCAAATAATTGCAAGCAGGATTCTACATTTGGATAAAGTCATGAAATCCTCAAACCCATTAGGATGGGCTATGATTAAAACAAAACAGAAAGTTTTGGGACAGGACATGAAGAAATTGAAACCCCTATGCACTATTGGTAGTAGTGTAAAATGGCAAAGCTGCTATAGAAAACTCTATGGCAGTCTCTCAAATAACTAAACATAGGACTATCATGTGAGTCAGCATTTCCACTTCTGGATGTATACCAAAAAAAAAAAAAAAAAAAATCCTGAAAGCAGGGGCTCAAACAGATATGTGTACACCTATGCTCACTGAAGCATTATTCATAATGGCCAAAAGGTGTAAACAATCTAAATGTCCAACAGATGAATGGATAGCCAAAATGTGTAACAAACAATGAAATATTATTCAGTCTTAAAAGGAATGAGAATTTTGCCACAAAGTACGACATGGATGAAACATGAAGATATTATGCTACGTGAAACACATCACCAAAGGACATTATTGTATGATTCCATTTATATTAAGTTCCCAGGATAGCCAAATTGATTGATAGATGCAGGAAGTAGAATGGTGGTTACCAAGAATGTGGAGAAAATGAGAATGGGGAGTTACTGTTTGAGTACAGAGTTTCAGTTATGCAAGCTTTAAAAGCTGGAAATGGATGGTGGTGATGGTTGCACAAAATGTGAATGTACTTAATGCCATTGAACTCCATATTTAAAAGTGATTAAAATGATAAATTCATGTTATATAAATTTTACCACAATAAATAACAGGACAAATAATAAGTTATCATGGAGATTAGAAAGTATAATAAAATAGTTTTTACACACTACTTATCAAGAACTGTGAAATGCAGCTAAAACAACACTTGGAAATCTTTGCTTAAATGTACATATTAGAAAAGAAGACTGGTGACAAATCAATGAATTAAATAATCTAAAATTGTTAAGAGAACAAAATATGAACCCAAAAAAGTAGGATAAGTAAATAATAAAACTAAAAGCAAAAATTAATAAAATAAAAAAAATAAAGACACAATGGAGAGAATCAAGGAAGTTAAAAGTCAATTCTGTGAAAAGAACATTAAAACTGACAAACCTCTGGCAATATGAATCATTAGTGGTGAAAAGTGGATATCATTACAGAAGCTTCAGACATGAAAATAACAAGAGAAAATTATGAACAACTTTATGCCAATAAATTTGAAAGCAATTTTTAGAAAAACATAAATTACAAAAAGTGACTTTGAAAGAAATAGGAAATATGACCAATCACATCATCATTAAGGAACAGAATCATTAATTTAAAATATTCTCTTATCTTTATAATGTTTCTCCTTCATAGCATACACAAAAATGAACTCAAAAAGTATAAACACATTAAATATAATAGATAAAATGTTAAAGCTTTTAAAATAAAACATAAGATAATATATTTATTACCTTGTGGTAGGTAAGGATTTCTTAAACAAGAAAATAAACGCCCTTTGACTGGTAAATTTGATTACTTTAAAATTAATAATTTCTGTTTGTCAAGTCATTTTAAATGGTGAAAAGGTAAGCTACAAACTAGCACAAGAAATTTGCAACACATAACTAGCAAGTGATTCATTTCCAGAATCTATTTTAAAAATCTCCAACATATGAATAGTTAGAAAGAACAATACCATAAGAAACTTAGCAAAGGCTAGAAACAAGCATCTTATAGAAGAGGAAACACAAATGGCCTCAAAATTTGTGAAAAGATGCTCATTGTCATTTGTAATGAAACAAGGCACCATTCCATTCCCACCTAATTGACAAAAATTTAAAAATTAGACAATAAATTATTAGCAATGATGTGGATTAATAAGAACTTTCATCCATACTACTGGGAATATAAATGAACAGTAAAATACACAGTGAAACACAGCCACTTGAAGAGCAATTTGTCACTTTCATGTAGAGGGAAGCCACCCTGTCACTCCACCCTACCATCCAGCAATCTCACTCCTAGATATACACCTAGAAACACTCTTGCTTATATGGAAAAGGATATATGAACAAAAATGTTCAAACCAGAACTGCTCACAATAACAAAAACCTATAGCTATACCAAACCCAGTTTATGCGCCTCTTCAAGATTCATACCCCATTCCACCTTCAATCAAGCCAGGGATGTTAGCTCTGCTTTTGCAGTTCCAGTCTAGTCTCCTAACTCCACCAGCAGGAGGGGCTTCAGTATCCATCCAAAGTGACTGGATTCATGAAAGCTGTAAACTTCATCCACCTCAGGGCATGGTATCTGGGTACCGCAGTGGGTTTCCAGAAAAGCCAGGTAACCCAAAGGACAGAATGTAAATCCATGTAAACATCCATGTGACTTTTGACTAATGACAGGAGATAGAAAGGAAGTGGTAGACACAATATTTTCCCTTCTTCCCCTATACAGACTATTACAAGGTGTGGTGCCTTTTATATAGTTTAAGAGTGACTGAACAACCCACTGTGTGTTCTTGTGAAGCTGCATCCAGCTTGGTAATAAACCACCCTATCTTTCAATTCCCTTCTTCTTTGCCTTACTTTTCCCCTCACCCTCACTACCCTGAGAGTGCATATCCCACTAAAACCTTAGCATATCAGTTTTGCTTCATCCTCTACTTCCTAAGGAGCATGAGCTAAAACAGATTTCAGGGGCTTATCAACAGTAGAATGGGTAAGTAATTGTGTAGTATGTCCTAACAAGAATACAGAAGTAAAAATAAATGCACTAGATTTACATGCATTATCATGGATGAATTGAAAAAGAAAGGTTGAGCAAAAATATCAAGTCAGAGAAGAATACATACAATATATTTATATAAAGGTGAACATAATGCAAAAGAAAACAACATATCACTTAGAGATGCATACATATGTTCTAAAAATACAAAGCAAAGCAAAGGAAGCTCGACACAGAACTCAGGAAATGGTAGGAAAGAAGTGGTGTAGGAAAAGAAGATTACGGCAAAG